TTCTTTTTTAAAAAAATCAATAATTATCTGCTCATAATTTTGATCCGTGACCATCTTTTTTTTTTCTATGTTTTGTGTGTCTCAATTTTGTGATAGGCCATATGTAAATTGTGCGAGATACTACGGTCTCATCACGGAATCATTTCGTCAGAATTTATAATCGCTAGATCAACTACTCGACGGTTACAATATAATCTAACAGTTACAAACCCCGATAGAATGATTCCATAACGGGATCGTAGCGTTTCCTATAAATTTTCCAATGAGAATCTATATATATATAAAACCAAAGCAGCTGGACAAAAATTTTTTCCCTCCCATTTTATATTAAATGTTTCTCATTAATGGTTTGATCAAATCAATAAATATTGTCTAAAAATTAAAAATCCTATTGGAATTGTGTATAAGATAATAACATTATTAGGATGTTGAATAAGTGGACAATTGTTTAGAATGTTGTGCTAATTCTACACATCCTATGCAACTAATAATTAGATCAAACAAAAAATCATAATGATTAATGTCAAATTATCTATTGATTGTCCTCCATGGACTAATTCTTTAACTTTTTAAAACCATCCACTTTGGGTGTTTTAAATTATTAAACTATATTATGTTTTCATTATAGAACCACAATATAAGAGTCTAATATAGTCTTAATTTAGTTATATATGTTTTACAATCGTGGGTCATTTTGAAATTGTAAATTTATAACCACATAATATAAAACCTAACATATATTTAATTATAATGCGGCAAAATAAAAGTTTATAGAAATTAAAAGATTAACAGACATCATTTTTATAGGATATCTTTATGTTTAATTCATTGAGTAAATTTTCAAATGCAAAAAATCATAAAAACTAAACAGAAAATTAAAACATATTAACAATTATTCTCAAAATTAAAAGTATAACCATATCTATACAATTGAAAAATCAATAAAAAATATTTTTTCCTTCAAAACTTTATTTATGTTTATGAGATCAACATGTTTGTATTGAAACATATTATACATATAAACAAAAATAGAAAGAAGCCACAAAGAGAAAGCAATTACAAAATTAATAAAGTTATATTTTACATATAATATTAAATTAGAAGAGACGTAATGTTCAAAATATAAAATAAAAATTCATCTATAGGTTTTTTTGGGTCAAGGTGTAAACCAAGTGAAAATAGGTTAAAAAAATAGTGGATAACCTTTACTTGAGAAATAAAATTATTTAAATTTAGGTTTCATAACCAAAAC